GTGTGGTTTTATAATCGAAGTAATATGTATGATAAATGCATTGGTGAAAAGCATTCGATAAAATTCAGAGAAATGATTATTTAATAAGAAAGCGTGCTAGTATGGATCTAGCATGCAAAGTTGCATCAACAAAGTTTCAAACCATCAGATATTGCTATTTTTTGTATCTTTGATTTTTCAAACGTCCATGTTAAGGATACACGGTAAAAGTTTGATCACCACTATATTTTTGCACTGCTGTAGATATCATTATTCACTTGCAAAGTTTCAGGCTCCCAGATCTTACGAGCTTAGAAGTGGATTTATCAGGACATTGAATATTACATTATTAATTTATACATAATCATGTTTTCAGTGCTTCTGAGTATTATAAATATTCACTTCAATTTATGCATTTGCCAGAAAAAAAAGCAGAAGTTACTGAGAACTGATAGTTTTGATTCAAAGTATTTATAACCATTCCTCCTGGTAAAAATTTGAGAAGTTTTTTTTTAATACCTCGATCCCTTTAAATGTTAAATACGATATGCGTAATCTTACAAGGCACCCCCCCCCAAAATGAATAATATGTTTTAAATTTCTACCTTTAAGTCTTTGAAGTACTGTTAATCTCGCTAGAATTATCTCGTGTTATAATATTATTCTAATGCCACATCATACTGTTTAACAGCAAATTTTAGTATTTAGTATTTCGCTATGCAATACTTTTTATAAATTATATTAATTTCAGTTTCTGAATAGCATCATGTTTTAACATTTCTAGAAGTTATTGTCACAATTAATGAAGTACGTAAATAAAGAAAACAGCTTTCTTTAAGTTCAGTTTTAAACAAAGCAGGAATTAAAGGTTAGAAGGGCCAACGTTAACAAACCGAAAGAAATTTTTCTGTATCTAGCATTTGTTGTAACAGAAAGACCAGAAATTTCTAAATAGGTAAATGCTTTGCGCCTTTTAGAATTTCATCTTAAAAATCTAAACAAGAAACGCTTGAAATAATAAATAAGTTACACTAAAATGAAGTTTCATTTTAAAAATGCTAAAAAAATCATTTAAAAAAGTAAGTAAAAATTATTTGATGTATTATTTAAAGTTTCAGATAAAAAAATTTGCTTCCTTTTATGCTAATGTTAAAATTTGTGATTAAAATATTAAAATGAGTTTGAAAACGTTAATATATTGTTTTGTTTATGTAAAAATACATTGATTACAAATACCTTCTGACTGTGTAAAATCTGTATTCTTACATTGTTTATAGTTACAGAAAACTTCAAGTGTAATTGAAAGTTATCCATAATCATAAACTGTTTATTAGCCTCTACATTTAGTCCTAACTGCTGGCACCTTCGAAAACTAAATAAAAATGACGATTTCTAAAATCGTACCGAAATAATTCCACGATGCTAAAATTGCAGTGCTTTTAAAAATTGCAGGGAATTTGAAAACCCTATAGATAACGTTTTAACTTCCTGCATTACAGAATTACACATCTGTCAAAAGATGCAAAAAGAATACTCATTCTTAAAAATAACATAATTTAAAACTTGCGTATGCATATTGGAATAAAATATGTATAGCAATTAACTGCACTGATCACCTGTGATTTTTGTTTATTGTATAATGTATGTTGATGATTATGTACTTCTATATGTTGATTATGAAAACGAAGTCAGCTTTTTTTTTTCCAATCATCCATACGTTTTTTGTAACATAAAATCACTTTTCATCCATATTTACCGTAACTGCGACTTTTACACATGCTGCTTCTCAAATCTCCTGGATGTTGGAAAAATTTTGTAAACAGATTTGAAGTAAGCAGAAAATAATTATACAAATCATACTAAATAAGCAAAAAGTTGAATTATTTACTAGTGTTTTTAGAAATGAATTTGTAATTTTATATAAAAACAAATTTAAAAAAAAAAAGGAGAAATTTATTTTGACTTTTTCCACATTTAACATTTTTGCGTATAAGAGAGAAAGTTCAATAAAATTCAAATACGCCCATATGTTTTTCTCTCAGATTCCGAATTTACAATTAATTAATATTTGAAGATTGAAAACTAAAATTAACCACTAAGATCGCAGTTAAAATTTGACAAATAACTCTCTTATATCATTTTTAAAGGAATTTTATTTGCTGCTGTTGGACGAGTGCGTTCAAAAGTTGTAAAACTGCACACGACTGGAGTACAAAGGCAGATTTTGATACAGTTTCATAAAATTTATCGCCCTCTGGCATTCCTTGAGCCAAATCATTCTTGCTTATGAATGACAAATTCGGCTACTTTCATCTTTTAGCTTACATTTCCATTTTCTTTGTCCGCATAGGTGTTACTGTTTCCTGTTTCGTTAGAATTGTGCCCAGTATAATTAGAAGCTCTAATAACTGATCTTTATTTTCGATATAGGAAACTACATTGCTAAATGTAACATTTAGTTAGATATGATTTAAAATGCCATGTTACCTGAAATTCTGAACTTCATTTTACAACTGTTATTTTATACTATCATTGTCATAAATACGATAGTTTTCTAACCCTCTATAAACAGATCGTTTGAAGAATTCCTAACTTTGCCTTATTGTGTACATCATCAATTTGTTTTAAGTTAAGAAGTTTTATAGAAGTATACAGATTACAAAACTTTTAACACATTTTTTTAACTTCATTCAAACAGCAACGTATTTTTTTAAAAAAAAGTTTGAGATTTTTCCATTTATGCGAAAATGCAGAAGCAAACTGCATTTGAAATTGAAATTCCATTTGAACTGAGAATAATTTCTTGAAGAAGAAATCTTTTTGAACTGTGTTTATGTTTAGTTAGGATTTAATTTTATGACTTAGGAAAAGCAAAATTAATATGCATGTTAAGAATTCCCCTACACTACGCGTCATCTACTAATTTGCTTCTTAATTACATAAATATTCAATTTAATGTATAATGTCTTACGTCTATAAAAATGAGGCCAGGAAAAATTTTAAAAGTACTGATTAACTTATTTGTTGTTGCAACCAACAGAGTAATTTACTTTTAGGTTTTTCTCTTTAAACCCAAGGGTAAGTGCGTTTTTTGCAGTTGCAGATTAAAGATGGCGGGGAAGTGAGTAAGAAGGTGAAAAACTGTTTGTGGTCTGTGGAATGTCTAGACAGCGCCTAGTTGCTTTCAGTTCGTGAGAAAGTTATAATCTCTATTTAAAATTTCTGGCAAAAGACTTGAAACAGAAAAAAAGATAGAGAAATAAATAAAATATTTCACGTCAAACGAGCTGTAATTGAGGCTTACGAAATTATCTGCTCTAGAATCGAGATATAAACACATTAATTGCTGACTAGTATGTAAAACGTCATACTTTTTCGTCTCTTGCATTGAATTCAGAAGGTTATTTGTATTTTATGGAAAGGGTTTTGTCTACAAGTTTTCTTGTTAGCATTTTGAGATAAAGATTAAGCATTTTCAATATAGTCGTATGCTAATTTTTTTTTATCGATTGGAATGCGATTGGAAATCGCTCCTAAAATTGATAGATGGCTCAAAGTTAACGTAAAATTTGTTCTTTCAGTGGAAAAAGTATTCGTGTCAATAAATTGTAAAGCAAAGTAAAATCGAAGTTATTGCATTGGTAAGAACTGTGTAACGTTAGAGGGCGCTGAGAGCGCCATTGAGTGTGTTCAGTTATTTGATGGAAAGATGTGACGCAGTGATGATGTGAGATTTCTGAGATTGTGATATTATTCTATTTTTTAAATCAATTTATATTTTATTGATTGCCTTAATTGAAATTTTATGTAATACTAGGAACCACCACACTATTGAAAGTTGGATTACCACTGAATCTTCAAACCACTGATGTGCATGCATTTCAAAGAAAGATATTTTTAATATATGCCCCTTTCAATATATGCTAAATATATTCTTTTTTCCCTTTTAATCATATATTAAAAATATGTGCTTTTTTAATATATGCTTAGAGTAATAAAAACGTAAAAAAAGAGGGCCGATAAAACGCATCTTAAGATTGTCTGAACGCTGATAAATATCAAGTTAAGTGAAGTCTTTGATCCTGAAAGAAACTCCATCACCGACTTAAAAGATACATAGCATTGGAAGTGCACTCTACATAGTACTTTAAAAAAAATTCTTAAAGATTTGAAGCTAGAAAGATGTTTCAAGTCTGATTTTGGCAAACCACACTGCGTAAAGAAAAACAAATTGTAGAATTTTATATTAACAGCTAACTATAAATACATGGAAATTTGTGCTAACACCTGATGAGACGTGGGCACAAGACTTAATAAAAAATAATATCTATTTTCTGCTGTTTAACTGCAAATGGCTTCGTCAAGCGTGTGGAAATGTTTCCCCAAAGTTCCCAAAAACAATTCACGATAGTTGCAGAATTTAGTTACAACGGTAAATTAAATCTAAAAGAAATCTCGAGTAAGTCACTGTACTCGTAAGTAAAATATTTTAGAACTAATTTTGGAAGATGAAGTTCCAGCCTTACAGGGGAAGGACATCAGTAAATTTGAGCTTTACATATACAAAGCTTTTAGTCCTACGTCTAGGTCAAGTGCCGCTTATTTAGAAAAGATAGAATCAGAAACAGGAATATTTTATTCCTGTTTCTGATAAATGTGTCCCATTTAATGAAACACATGTAAAATCACACTCGACGCTTCTCCTATGGACTTTTACCCTTTCGGTTGTTAAAACGAGTTTTAGAAAAACGACAATCCAAGAACACTGAATGGACTTCAGAAAATGACTCAAGAGGAGTAGGATAAAATTTACATGACCGCAATAAGAAAAGGTTTACTTTCGCGCTAAATTCAAACTAAAGCCATAGACAAAAATCAAAACTGTGGAATAGAAGCAAACTGCGGCAAGAAATACTTTCTTTATATATAAAAATATCAAAATCCCTATCTTAAAATGCGAATGACCTTCTGTATTAATTAAATGTATTCTGTATTAATAAATTTAAAACATGAACTAGATCTTTCATGAATATATATATATATCTTTATGGCATCATAAGTGTTACATGTTCGAAGGTATTTTATGTCAAAATCGGATACTCTGAAGCTCCTCTTCTATGTTTTGATGTATATTGTCAACTTACAATTCTGTTCTTCTACGGCTTAGGTTCCAATGGATCTCCATTAATGAGAACTAAAGTCAGGTAATTTGCTGCAACTGGATTTCCAAGATCATGTTCCTGGGCAATCTGTTTTGGATCGATCCCTAGTCTCTGCAGTATAGGTATTTCGTCATTTACATCAACAGGATGTTCTTGGCAATATACGAAGAAAGTGTATCTTTGCTCAACTAGTAAAAAGAAAATAAATACAAATTTACACACACACAATCGCAAATTTTTTCAAAGTGTAATACAATACACAAATATTTTAAAGGATAATTTTAAGAAGTTCTTTGATTTTTATTGCTTGTATGAGGAGTAAAAACATGTTCTTGAAAAGTGTTTTTTAAAGAACTTTCTAAAAAATCTATTAAGATTAAAATCTAATGTACTTTGAAAATTAAACAAAAAGAAATGGTTACAGTAAAGAAAAAATTAATCATACACTTGTATGCTTAGAAAATTAAAAAAAAATTAATGAAGACTATTTAAGCGAATGAAATCCTCTCTGAAAAATATTTCATCAGTACTCAACACAATGAAAACTGACATGTATTAAAATAAAAAGCTAATTTTTCATTTTCTTTTACTAAGTGATACTTAAAGTCATGTTTAGTTGATTATTGTGCCATTTCGAAATTTCGTTTTATTTATTTCCAAGGACATTCAATTGGATTAACATTCTGATGACTGTAGAGGAGTTTCCAGAGTATGTGGTATGTGGTACAGCAAACAATCCTTCCCGGTTAGATTTGTGCGTTGGTGATATATCTTGTTAAAAGTAAAAATTTCCAGAAAGACCTAATTTTTGCACACTTTGTTTTAATTTAGTTGTAGTTTTATATATAATTTTATACCAGAATTTCTGACATCAAATGGTGTTTGGCTTGATTTGGTACTCATTCATGCAAGCAACTTGTCAAATCGAACAGAAGTATGTAGCCGATTGCATAACGAGCTCTTGCTATCGTAACAAAACAATTTGCATATGAGAAGACTGAAACTTTTAAGTGTATGAAGATTTTTTACTTTGCAGTTTTAAGTATTTTTGATGTTTTAACAAATATTTTTATATTAGTTTTTTTCCCCCATTTACGTAAAATATCTGTAGTTGCATTTTTATATTCCTGTTGCTTTGCTTCTTTTTTAAATTTCAAGCAAATTAGCAAAAAATAAATTGGCTTAAATAATTTTATGCTATACGAATATTTTCCCCTCACTATATGTTTCTGTGGCAGAGTGACATTTTGGGTATATCATTATTAAAACGGCCACGAAACAAGCTTTTGGCGATATTTTAAATCGAACATTAGAGACTGGGCGACTAAACATGGCGGCCGCTTTAACAATGAAGAACAAAACTCTGATTTTATGCTAAACGTCAGTGGCGTAGCTAGGGTGCGGCAAGGGGGGACATCTGTCCCCGGGCGAAGCATCCAGGCGGCGCCCAATTGATGCTACGAAATTTTTGGTACTATTCGGTTTTGAGGGCCGTAAACAATCGCCAAACTATTGTTGATGCCAGTGCTGCGAAAAATAATTGCGGCTACCCTAATACAAGAAAGGAAGTATAATAGTAAATAACTATCTAAGATTGATGTTTTAATTTAGATGAAAGGTTAATTTCATATAATACTTTTTTCATTATTATAATTTATATAAAAAAGGCTAAACATGACTGAATGGAAGCATAAGAGTAAATAACTATTTCAGATCATTATTATAATTTATATAAAAATTACTAAACATAACTGAATGGATGTCTGCATCGCTATTTCGCTACCGAGTTATCACTAAAGCATAATTTCATCTCGTTGGTTGTTCAAACATAATTTTCTATAATGAATGATGCTTTTTCTTTGAAAAAATTCTCGGTAAAGTGCAGAATCGTCCACTTATTTGTTTGTCGCTTTACAAGGGTAAAAACAATTTTTGTGCAATTCTGGGAATTTTTTTAAAGTGAAAATAGGTCGCTGTGTACATGGATACCGAGTATGTGCAATTCTTAAAACCGCGTCAAGCAGTGGGTGATTCTGCACTTTACCCAAAATTCTATTGCAGACTTTTCATCATGGGCAATTCCCAAATTGTTAAATCCATAGGATATCAAAAAAGGATTTTAAAATTAAACTAATGTTTCAATGGCGTCTTAAGAAATATAAAACTATATAATCTTACGCAATCTGAAATCAGCGCGTACGCTAGATTTGGTGCACTGTTAAATGGGCGCGTTTGCTAGATTTAGCGCTTTTGTGCATGCATTTTCGCTGCAATTTTTTTACGATCCTCAAAACGGAATAGTACCAAATATTTTAATGAAATGTTTTCCATTCTTGGCACACAGAGAGAGGCGCAAGTTCTTCAACTGCTCCCGAGCGCTAGAATTCTAGCTACGCCACTGCTAAAAGTTGACATATAAAGGCCAGAAGAAAACATTATACGTACAAAATACATTTAATGCTATTATTATAACAAAGCTTCCGAAACTGACTGAGCACTGCAATATTTCTAAATGAAATGGATAACAGTAATCATTTTGTTAGCATTGCTAGTAATCGTCTTAATAATAACATCAGTCATGTTAAAATAATAAATTCGTCAATCAAAAGTATATCAAGTTCAGCGGCGTTTTCTATTACCTCTATTTTGGCACACACACGTTCCATTATATAATCTACTTATTTTGGCCCCTCTACATTTCTGCCATATAAATATGTAAGAAAAATAAAGACTATTTAAAAGATTAAATTAGCAGCGTAAATTAATTTCCCTTCTCTATTCTAAAAATAGCAACATTTATTTGCACTGCGTCATTTCGAGAAAAATCTATGTCATATGACTCTTACGTAATTCTGGTGATGTAAATTGAACTAAAGCAGCCAATAATAATTTTACAGCAATATTAACTACTTAATCAAAATGCTTTGAGGACCAAATCTAACTCAGTTTGACTTAAGATTTCATTCTGAATATTACGCACTTGCTTTCCACGCTAGACTTCTGCTGCTGCTTTCTTGCTACAATGTTATCAAAAATGTAAGCTGACGACTTGTGTGTAGCCGCAACATGTTGCTGAAAATAAAACTGAAGATTTAATCTGCCTTCGCATCCAATTTCCTAGTCATTATGGATCAAAACTTCTACGCCATCAAAATTCCTGCTCCTGAATATATTACATATATTTGATTCACCTTATGCATAAGTTATTTCATAAGTGATGACCAATATATTTCAAATTATTATTAGAGGATTTGGATAATTATGTAACGTATTCGTGCACCTCGTTATTAAAAATAAACTGGCGTCTGAATATTTTATACTTTCTTGTTAAAGCACCCATTACATAATTCTTCGGTGACATCTGAAATTTGCGTTTTACTGATTGAGTTGTTAAGTTTTCCAGTTTTGGTGATTAAGCACGGTGACCGCGTGCAAAAGGAGGTATTGAATTTTGACTTTGGGCCATTATTATTACAAAGATGAAACCGTTCAAGAGCAAATGTGTTTGTGTTTTTTTTATTCGTGTTACACTTGCTTCCATAAAATGCGTGCAAGCACACTGAACTTTCTATTTCTGTACCATATTTGACTAGATATAAAAAATGGAATATTTTCTATTTCGTTACCAAAATGCAATATATTTAAAGCCGAAATATTTACTTACGATCTGGTGCGAAGGGCTGAATGTATTTAGCCCTTGCATCACCAGCTTGTCCACTAAAACCATTAGCCAATACATCTGTTGGAATATTATAAACCAGCCAGTGCAAGACTGGCATGCCAACAACAGGAACTGGACCTACAAAAGTGAAATATGATTTCAGTAATTAGCTTGATAATTTTAAAAACTAAGGAAGACTAAGGTCCAGAAGGGAATAATAAAAAGGGTAAAAATACTACATAAAATAGATCGCAAGGGAAACCCCTTTAACCATTAGATCTGAGTACATACAAGCAAATCAATAAATAATGTGGAAGTGAATAACATTTTCTAATATTTTTAATATTTTCGGTTACTTCATTGTTAGCTTATCCAGATATGAAACGGTTAATGTATTTATTTAAATATCAGTTACAACTTCGCCATGGCAAAATTTAGTTTAATATTTTATTGAAAAGTATAATACTATTGGCACGCCAAATGAAATTAGTAGAATTTAAGAAATAAAAACAAACTAGCCTTAAAAATTAATATATTCAGGAGCCAGCTTTTCGAAACACGGAATGGCTGAAAGCCGATTCCTAGTTCTTAATGGTCATTTATATTGTTTTAATTCGTTTATTATGTTAAGATATTTTTACTTAGCATCTAAGGCACTTTTAAAAGAGTTTCAGTCGATTGAATACATTAAGAAAATGAAAAGGAAAGTAAACCTACTTACCAAAACCAAATAAAAGAACTGTAGCTAACTTACAAGCCCCATTCACATCGTAAGTTAGAGTGGGTCTTTTAGCAACAGTCACAATCGAAATTCTATTTCCACACTCCACTGGTATATCCGGTGGATAAATAATCTAAGAAAAAAGAACAAAAAAAGTCTGCATTAAACAGGTACATGAGAACTTAAACCTTATGAAACTAATACTTCTATTAGTTGTATAAAATAACTGCATGAAATCTTAAAATTTTAGGTTACTTTTATTTGTGTAACACATGTTTACAATCCTTTATTGCAATTAAACCTAATTTTATTTTTCTCTCATCAAACTATTTTATGTAAAAAGTACGGCGAAGATTAAAAAAAAAAATTCCTTTTTGCCTTAAATGGAGAATCACTGCCACGAAGGATAAAAAAATTCTTTCTTTCAACAATATCTGAACGAACAGTTAGTTATACTGCTACCGTAATTGATCGTTTTTTTTTTAAAGAAATCCTTTGATTTACCTATAAGTAGTAAGCTATCAGCTTTGAATGTGGTTTTGCCGTGAACGAAATCAGATTTATTATATTATGATGTAGGGTTTATATTTATTTTAACTAACATTTATTTTAAGTTTAAACTATCTTTCCTGTCAAGCCTTACTTTCCCCTGGAATTGCCAATGCCAGAGTATGTAAATTTTAGTAGAACGCGCAAGGATTCAAATTATCAGCGGAAGTATTCTGAGTTAAATAGAAAGGAAACGAGTTCGAAAGGGTGCTTTCTTGCTTCGCGAGTGTGGAGGTGGCTAGTTAGAAATTGAAGAACCACGCGTTTCGGCCTGTGTGCTTGCCTCGGCAAATTGTTAATCTTTCAACGTAATATTCAGAGTTGCTGAATTATCAGCGGTATTTTAGAACGCGGTGAGGTTAGTTACGTTTAGAGAGCCTCGTAGTTAGTCACTTGTTATTATCTCTTTTTAGTTTCTTATTTTTATTTTACCGCCGGGTCGGCGTAGTTTGTGAGCGTCAAGAGCACGCATTTGTAACTTCGAAAATTGAATAAAAGGGATTTAAACCCTTCTCAAGACTTTGGTCTATTTCCAGCTCTCAGCAGTCACCACTTTGTTGCGTGCAGGTTGGAAGCGCGCAACTTTACAACGAGATTAAAATGTTTTAGGAATTTACAAATTTTAAGTAACGTTTAAAGTTTACAGAAACTAGGAAAAACATTAAAATCACCACTTCCTTAATCTACAAACTATTCTTGCCTATACAACGTAAGTGTACTTCTTCTCAAGAATTTTCATCGGGCGTGTCATAGATTCAACGAGATGTTAGTAGGTATCTTTTTATGTTTTCGATTTTATGATTGCAATAAAATTTTTCATTTTCTATAAATTACATTCCTGGGATGGCACTGCTCCTAATCGTATCTTCAACTAAAACAAAATACTCTAGCATTGATTTATGTCGAATGAATACGAAGGTCGACACAATTTAAAAAAATTCCTTGCTATGTTTCTGAAATCATTTCTTCGTGATATGATACTGAGCTTTAACTTTCCTGTATTATCAAACATTATCTCTGCCACTGAGTATAGACAAAGTAGTGAGGTCATAACATGTAGCACCGGTTTTCGTCAAAGACGATTTTCAAGTAGGCATAGGTATTCTGAGTTTATTCTATAGGACTAGACCAACACACCCCTTTTATCCTTCTGGATTATTTCCACAGTATATCCAAATAAATAGCATGGACTTGATTATTTGATTATGGTAAAGTACATTAGGATTATCAGTCTAAGGTGAGAGGTACTTTGGTGGTAGACTTTCTAAGCAAAACTGGCTCGTATTCACGTTAGCCATAGATAAAACTAGATAATTGCTCGTGAAACTAGTCTGTTCATTGGAATTTGTACCCATGCCGAAACGTACGTGTTCAGCGGTCTTATCCATTGAATCATTGGTGGCTTTGTATCCAAATGCAAAAAAATCCTTTGATAAACGTCATTCACGATGCTTGCTGGTCCCATAGCATAAAAAACATTGTTTAACCATCTGACCTTCCTCATGTCTCATGTTATCAAAATCTGATTATTGAAAGCGCATGACAAACCTTTGCAAATGTGAAAAGCTTCCAGCCTAGGAAGAGGAATGAATCTGCGATTGCTATAAGACTCATATCCAAAAGCATCCAGTGCACTATTTGCTTGGAACAAAACCTTATATTATAGAAGTGTCGGTTGTTTAAGTGTTCACCAAAATCGATACTGATAATACATCCGCCCAAATCATCCTTTTAGATCTCCAGAGGAAAATATTATACCTTAGGACTCAGCAGTTTCTACAGTTGACCTTATCTCAATAGTCTGAGTTTTATCTATTATCAATTATTCTATTAACTGTTACGTATATACACACATTACATGATGTGTACAGCAGACCAAAATAGCTGTTGCGGTGATGCTTTTGTTAACGTGTTTAACCGTAACAGATGATACCATAATACCTTTCGAATCTTTAGTATTAAAATATCAATTAAAAGAGTTTTGAATTCAGTAGATAATACACTAGCTCTGCATTCACGTTCAACATCCTTAAGCATTATAAAAGTATGACTGTATTGTTCTTATGTTTTGAAAGGTCTAAATATCATGAAAGTAGACATTTCTAACGAACAGAATTTAGTAATTAGCGTTAAAGAGTTTTCTTCATTTAAGTCAAAAGTAACTTTACGTTATATTACAAAACTAGCAGGTGGGTTCTAGAAACATATCTCTCAATGTCGGAAATAATTGTCGTATAATTAAGTACTCCCTTTTGTCATTAAATAAAAACTATGCATGATTTTTTACGTGAACTCTAAACTGTATTTAGTTTTCTTACTAAATATATGCATATATAAGTTCATTTCTGATTTTTACAAGTTCATATATCTGTTCTCAAATATATACACAACTGAATTGGTTTTGAAGCAAAATTTGTGAAAATAATTGAATTTAAAGTAAATTTTTACCTTTAAATCTGTTGAGTTCACGTCTTCAGCAAATGTAGGAAGGATTCCAACTTCTTTCAGTTTTTGGTAACAACTGTCACTAGATGCTAAACGCAGTAAGACACTGTAAAACAAGATTTTGACTGCCATAATAGAAATACCTGACATTCGCATCTGGAAAAAATAAATAAAATAAATAAATTATCTGAAAGCTTTCAGATTTTATATTATGCCCAAAGGGACGTATTTTTAACGTTTTGTGTGTTACATTTATTTATTAAACATGTTCTTTGCACTCAAACCATCAAATTTATTTCAAGAGAAGTATCCCAAAATAATTTAGAAAGAGCATATATCTTTAGTATTTCCGATACACAATCTCGCGCGCTAGAGGATTTTTTTTTTTTTTTCTTTCGTACAGTGTTGCTATTGCTCGCTTTGAAATTGTTGAATTTGTTAATCAAAAATTCGTTAAAGTTTTACAGAATATGAAATAGATAATAAAACAAATTCCAAATTTGGGCTTCCAGCTGCCCATATTGGAGTGGAGGACTACGTTATTCAAAATTTGATTTCTCTAGGTACCGTTTGTTTTTCACAGTGCGAGAAACATACATACATTCATGCAGCCTCTTCATTATTTAATTTCTTTAAATATAGCGTAGGGCTTTAATATTTAGTGGAAACAACTTGAAAAGTGAAATACCGTTTATAGTGAACCAACGCAAAATGACAAAACGAAATTGATAGGCCTTCTGAGCGAATTGCCTCTTTGGGCTAAAACAAAATTAGCAGTTTTATGAAGATGAATATGGAAATATTTAAAGAAATATGAAATTAAGTTATGTGTTAACTTAAAGCTATTTTTAGAACTCATCGTATACTTCAGTATAACTTTTAAGCGTCAGAATACCTGGTATGACTTCTAGAGATTTTACTGTATTTTAAAATAGCAAGGATTATATTCTACTAAGCACTGAAATTGCGGAAAGTAAAATTAAGAATTCCGTAAAAATCATTTTACTGGTTAAAAGTTTAAATATTGTAGCTACATCTACATCTAACAAGAAGATAGAGATTTAGATTGGGACACTTTCACTTCACAATTTCTGTACTAAACTGCATTTATAGTTGCACTCCAGTCTGGATCTGTGCACCTATAATTTAAGTATAAGAAACAATCCGCAAAGACTGTGAGTGGTTGCAAAGCTTATGTTCCTTTCAACACTCCGGCAATATCGTGTCAAGCGCAACCTCAGCATTTGTCATTAATTCGTTTCCAAGAATTCATTCCTACGAATACCATTTCACTTCAGTACGCAAAATATTTCCAAACCCAGTTTGTCGATACCAATAGGAAGAAAGAGGATCACAAGATAGGATGCATTATGAATTCTGCCTGCCAAATATGGGAGCGTGCAGCAGATAAAACATCTAAATATTGCAAAATAAAGCTGCTACGAGAAGTAACCAATGCCCCATGTTACGTTCGCAACCACGGCCTCCAACTTCAATAAATAAAATTATCACATTCAGAATACAATAAGTTCTTTCAGTTTCTCTGTCCTCAGTCCTCCAAATCATCCAATCAACACAAAATCAGAAATTATCTTTAACGAGAAAATATACATCTAGCACGCCTTCTATGCTCATCATTGGCTATGCTCACCACGTTAGCTACTAGTGTTTCTACAAACTGAAATCATGATCTGATTTCAAAGACACTCTCCCTCAACGCGTCGTTCAGGCAACGAAACTACTTAATTTTCCAGCTCTCTGGGGTCTCTCGCATTTTAGCTGGATTGGAAAGTGATCTCTGCTTGAAGGATAATAAATATCAACTAAATATCAGTCATCCAGTGACTTAAGTAAGACAGTTAACTGCTTATAGGTAGTTTTTGAAAATGTGTGATTTTACCACCGCTTTCTTAAAAAAGTGAGCAAAGTTTAAATTGTAAATCATTTCTACTTATGTTCTCTATGAATGTGGGTACTTGGATAACAATAATTATCATTTCGTTAACAGTAAAATATTAACTTTTTCTCTTGGGCATAGCCAGGACCCGAATTAAGGGGGATGGCAAGCAATCTTAAATCACATAAGAGGAGCTGAGATGTAACTCGTACGTGTATCAGTGGATGATCTGATAAAACTACTGATCACTGGTCATTCGATTTAGGAGCTAACTGATTGGCTACATAAAAGTTCTCGTGTTTTTTCTGATGTATTATAACGTGAAAATAAGCCAGTTTTCCTTAGAAAATTCTCCTCTTTAGGTAGATAGCCATCACATGCTTTGTTGCTATCAAATAAAAGAGAAAATAAATAATGAACTAGAACAATGAGCTTAAGAAGAATGTTGAAATATAAGGAATAAGAATACAGGAACTCCTGAATTTTTTATTGAGTTTATAAATTATAATACAAAACCTTTTCTTCTACCTGAATAAAATCTGGTAAGAACTTTCTTTTTTTGTTTCTATTCTTCTTTCTTGAACAAACTTTCGATGCTTAATATGCACAGCCCATTCAAGTGATTCTCTGTTGTTGATAAGTGCAATCAAGTTTTTATTCTGTGCAAGTTACTAAGCAGTACTTGTAGTACATGATTGAATGATTGAAACAAAGACATAAAAAGAGCATATTTCGTTTCTGGAAAAAAAATAGTTATCACTTTCTTACCAAGTCTTCCATTATTGGAGGTGTTAAGGCAATAAGAATTAGTATTCATAAATTTGTAGGACTAATTTCGAAGGTTTAGATATAGAACCTTCTTCTTCGGTTGCAGAAGTGCGCTGATTCTTGTTATTTTAATACCTCCAATAATCGTTATTCGGGGCGTTATTTTAACTCAGAGAAAGTGTTCCATTATTAACTCCTTCATGTCCATGATTTTCAGTTTCCTCTTCTTCAGTTCAGAATTAGTCCTAAGCACACGGTAAATTCCGGAAACCGAAAGAAACATTTCGTCGAACTAGGCTTGCTATATAGCAAGCATAAGTAAAGATTAATAAAAATAAGTGTAATTTCTCACTGAAATAGTATTTTTCTACTTTAAATTCTCGAAATCAAAATTGGTAATCAAGCTATGCCAACATGGCTCCTGGCAATTCTTTATTGAATTGCTGTCCATTAAAAACTGCTCTTCTTTCTTCTGATCTGGAATATGTTAATTGCCCTTCGTTGGAAGATTATGAGAGGTTCGGAGGGCGAAAGAATGTTTCCATTGCTCTGAGAAAACATCTGGGCATCGATCGAACAGGCTGGTGTTCCAGTTTGGATATAACTGATTTCAAATACATGTTTAATTTCGTCAGAAATGGTTACAAAACAAAAATGAGTGAGTCACTTAAAAACCTGAGAATTCTGTGTTCTATGTCGGCAACATGATCAATTAATCAATTTATAGAGTAAGGGGTTTTTAATAACATAACTTCGAGAGAAATTTTCACTTGAAGTTAAGGAACTTTATATTGAACAAAATGAAGTATAGTAAAAATTTCATTAATTAACTTTTGGTTAGACGAAAGACTATATGAAAAGTTATATTTTATTACTTACACAACCCTTCTCACCTACTATGCAATTGTTGTTTAAAAAAAATACAGCCTTTTTTTGAGAAATCTTATAATTGAATGCATATTGCGTCCAGAGCTAATATTTTAGAAAATAAGCCAGAAAATTCCTTTTTTCCAAGACACTTCATTTTCAGTAAATGAATTGAAATAAATTTCCATTATTTTCAAATTTGTGGCGTAGTTCTCCAACGCGTTGAAAACGGATACTCAACCTGCTTTCAAGATTTTCAGCTTTTAAAATTTAAAATCTGTGGTAAATGTTTCTAGAAAAACTGGTTACATAAGTACAGAAGAAGCATTTAGGTGTTAATTTTTTTTTTGGCGGCAATCGAACCCGGATCTGGACGATTAATTGCTCAGTAATTGGATTTTATACAAATAACTGGTCTATAAATTAAATGAGTTAAAGAGAAGCATGAAAAAATTATCTTATAGTACTCTTTTTTTTATAAAAATTGTAAATTTAAAGAACTTTGATTATAAAGCTTGCGATATAAATGTATGTGTAAGGTTCTAATATAAATGTAAATGCATATTGTAAGGTTTTAAATGTGTATTATAAGAAGGACTCGTAATAATGTTGTGCAAGTTTTTGAATAATTCGTAGTTTTTTATTTCAGTAAATCATGGCATATTATTATCGAAATTTAGTTTTATATGTTCATCTACTTTTCTGTCTGACTGCTAATCTGTAACGAAACACAAAATACAGTTTGTATATATTCTCTACCAATCTAGGGCTTCTTTCCTTAGTTCTGTATTTTACACGTTTCCTCTTAATCTTGTATTTTATATAGAATATTTCTTCTCTATATAGTTTTATTCTCGCCAATACAAAGGCCATCAGCACTTGCTAAAGTGATAGTACATCCGACTAGCACTGGAAGAGTCTTGGTTTCCTTTCCGCATAATTGATTTTTCACGTTTTCTGCCTTGAAAAAACATAATGCTTCTACAAACTCATCCCCAAAAAGAAAAGCATAATTAAGACCAACTGATGTTTTATTTTATCGCAAAATCGAGATCCCAATTTTCGCTATTCTTAAAATTTGTTGACTTATATGTAGATTAAAAAAAGGAGGTAAATTTTGACTTTTCCACCGCCCAGACGGTTTAGTTTACAATGTCATAAATGCTTAATATTTATTTTAATTTCATAATTTCTTCCAAATATTTTAGTTAAATGGCAACATTTGGGTTCAATGCAAGTTTTATTTTCAAGTACCTTTGCATCGTTAATGGTTAGTGTCATATATAAGGAGAAAAATTGTTTTAAGCAATATTCTATTTAGCGATGATGCTGTTTCGAGTTGAATATTATATCAACAAGTTTCAGAGAAACTGAAGGATTGAAAATTAACGCCTCAGTATTATACAGCCCTCTTTTCGTGATTCTTATCATTATCAGTATTATATAACTCCCTTCACTCATTAGAACCAAATTATTTTTAAGAGTAAATAAGGGAATTACAGAAAGAGTTTTTATTTTCTTAATTATTTACTATCATAAATATTTCAATTAGTAACTAACTAATGGATAAATACTTATAATAACTAACGAAAAAATGCTTGCTTGGAAAAGCAAAAGAATAATTATAAATGAAAATTTAATTCAATTTCTACCTTTTTCTTCATCACAATTATTAAACTGATTACTATTACTATATTATTGAGTTTTCGTCTATTGCATTAAGCTGGCAGCTTAACTTTAAGTTTAAAAATGGTATATTCTGTGCATACCAAACGTAGTTAGGGATTACATAATTCTGTTACGAAGATGAGATGAAAATGTACATACCGAAAAATACGAAATATTCATGCTTGATAAACGGAGAACCTTTATTACTGTATTTTTATAAAATGTCACTCTTTTGAGCTCTCTGACCTACGTTTTTTAAATTAAAGAAATATCTCTTTCCAAGAACTTAAGTGAAGTAGATACAAGTATGCTGTCATTATTTATTGTCTCAGCAGTTTTTGAAAGAGGAATAAAACCGCATGACTAATCAAAAAATAATCATTGTCATACATTTTAATACATGTAACTTCTTGTTGCGCATTAAAATGCGAAACTAATACGGAAGTCATTTCACATGAAAGCTTTGTTTTCTTCCATATGATGCAATCTCCTTTCTATACAAAATTTTTTGCCTTGTTTAAACTGTGGACCCATGGATCTAAATGAGTAATAATTAGTAAAAATTAAAAAAAAAAAAAATTAAAAAAATCTGAAACCTTTCAGATTTATATTTAGATTAAACTTATTTTAGATTTATATTATATTACCCTCAAACGGGCGTTTTTTTTTTCTTTCATTTGCAGACGTATATGCATATTTGGGCTAACGCCACATTGTGCTAAAAGTATTTCAGCATATCTTTTGAATTTCTAATCGACAGTCTAGCGCACTGGAGATAAAAATGCTTTATTCCCTACACCTATAGTGTTGCCACTGTTCGCTTTCAAATCGTGCTTTTGAAATTCGTTAAAATTTTACAAAATATGAAACAGACAATTAAACAAATTCCAAATTCGGCTTACAGTTGCCCATGATCGGACAGATGACTTTCAAAATTTGTTAACTCTAGGTACCGTTGTTTTTTCACAGTGTGAGAAACATACATACATTCATATAGATTCTTCATTATTTAGTTTCTTTAAATATAATACAGAGCAATAAGAGTTGTGGCAACAATTTTAAAAGTGATTCGACGCAAAATGCCGTTTTGAGACTAATAGCTCTTCTGGGCTAATATTCGTCTCATTCGTAAACCTAAGTTTACGACTTTCTCAAATTTTTTAAAAGTTCGTTTCCTATTAAAAGCATATATCTGTTTGAAACCAACAAAGAAACAGGTAAAATAGTAGAATCTTATATCTTGAACCGGTGATTAAACATCTTTGAAAAATTTTTTGCTCTGTGATTTGCCAAAATATTAACTTCTGAATTCACATGACAGATATACCAGCATAATTTGGAAACAGTAAGATGATATGAAACGATTCTAAGATTTATAGAATTTGGCGAAAATCCTAGACTTGAATATTTTAAGCGTCTTTATAACAATATTTACATTTTAGAAATAAATATTACTTCTGGCTATCGCATCAATACTTTAATGAGTAATATAAAACTCGCAAGTTGTAGCAATGAAAGAATATTTTTTAATTAAATCGAAAGCAATTACAATTTTCTTGCGTTTACTGTAGGTAAAGCCAATAATTATTTAAGTACTATATGCCAAGCCTATAACAAAGAAATTATTGAAAAGGAGCTCAGTATTACTATTGAAATATTCCTACATCGAACTTTCAGTGAATTCTGTTCTCTTTTCCTTAACATAGCAACGCCAGATTATTTATGTTTACTTAGGTAATACTAATTTTCATGTCTGGTGCGAGCAAAATGTTACGCTATCGCAGTGCGAAAAAACGTTTATAAAATTACGCTAGTTATTACATAATTTTATTTATCACTAATAATTTTTTTTACTCACATCCTTTTCTTTTCTTCGTCTAGATTTCACCGGGCGACTTCAATAAATGTTTTGATGATATTTTGGATCCACTAATGTAAAAATCACCAAAACTATGCAGTTTACTGCAAGATTTTCTTTTGTCCAAGGTAATCACTTAACAGAAATATTTTATATTAGCATATGCTAAGAAAATTATTATATTTAAAAGAGTGCTAAATTTATATTTGTTTTTTATATTCCATTTTTGCTCGTAACGAGCCCAGCGGTGCCAGTGTATAGCGAAAGGATGGAGAGAAACATCACACAATCATAGTGTTTTAAATCCCTCTTTTGTTGCTAAGACTAGAGTTGGAAGTCCATAGGTAGAGTAACCGGTAATGAATTTCATAACTATAATAGTCTAGAAATAAAATTGATAGACGGTTGCCACGCATAATTTCGAAATTCAGATCTTCAGCTGTAGTGTGGTATACGCAGTTGATGAGTTTTATTTTTGTCCATTTTGGAAATCTAGGAGGACTTTAAGGGCTCTAGGAGGACCACAGAGAAACGACAAAATAAATAATTAAATAGCATACACAATAATGAAAAGATTTGAGATCATGAGCTTCATCTGTGGCGGTTACCAATGCCAGGCTTCTGTTGTGCAAGTTTGCATTAATATGGCTTCGTTAATCGATATCATTCGGTTATGTTACACAATCATTCGGTTATGTCACACAATTGATAAGCGTGTCGGACCATTGTTCAGTGTTCTGATTTTTGGAAAAAAAAAAAAAAAAACATAAAGAACCTAAAATGCGAAATTTAAAATATTGTTCCTGTCTCAAATTTTACATATTTAAAACATAGAATTGAAAAATTTTTTAATAATTTTGTATATTTTGAATATTATAGAAGTAAATGGAGAGAACCGAGAACTTGTGGGCACAAGCTACAAAACTTCTTACCAACAGCAGGAAAAGTGGACGAAGTTATTTGTAATCCTACGGATATCCATCAACATGAATCCGAAGAAAATATTACTTTGTAGAGACATTAGGTTTTTTTTTTTTTTTTTTTTCTTTTGAAGCGGTAAAGACGAAGAATGAGCAAACGCTTTCGCCGAGAATCGAACAACGGACCTCTGGAATACGGCCCATCGTGCAGACCACCACACCACGAAGGCACGCTAGGAAGGCGGGAGAAATACCTTATAACTTCATAGACTGGTCTCCCACATCCAAATGTGAAACGTGTTCTAAATGCTTTAAAATTAACCCCTTAAACGCATAACGTAATTGAAAGATGTACGGCAAATGGATACGTCAGTACTTCTCCATTTTTGTACTTAAATTATTTGCTATCGTAACAGATTTAGCATGCTGCATGAATTTTCTTCAAAATGCAATCTGTTTTATCGCACTAGTCATATTACTCTCCCCAACTAACGTTATAAATGAGTGACATCCAGCCAGTTGTAACTCACAAATTTATTTATGACGTAGTGTGATTAGGATGGCTTTAAAATTTATGCTTTTAAAATAAACATCAACATACTGCTCTGCGTACCTGCTTTTTGAAAAGACTACTAAACATTTTCTTCCCCAAAACAAAACTTTTAAGCGCATTTTCAAATCAAGTTATTAAACTTTAATTACCTTCAATTAAAAAATGATTATTCTTGACAATTTTTTTCCTCGAAAGTGAGTGAGGAACAAACTGTGAAGCACTACTGCAAAAGATTATCAGATTTATCAACAAAAATTAAATTTGTTAGAGTAACGATGTAAAATGTAAAAAAAACTCCTTCGATGAAAATAGCTTTAGCTTAAAAAAAGGCAAAACACACAGTTTAAAAAATAAATAAAGCAGAAGTCTCAATTTCTTTCATACGAACCAAGATTTTTTATTTAGCTGATAACAGACCATAGAAATCAAAGGCGCTGTTCATTTCATTAGAATCATCTACATAAAGAGGTAGAATTTACAAGCTTGCACTACTTCCATCAATGGCCGTAAGATTAAAGTAAGTCGCTGCGATTGGATCGCTGAGATCATTCTTTGATGAGAATACCCGAGGATCAAAATTCGTTCTTTCCGTTTCAGAGTACTTCTTTCGTTTCACAGCATGTTGCTGGCAGTAGACGAAAAAAGTGTACCTATGGTCGCCTTAGAAGAAGGGAAAAAAATGTATGAATAAAAAAAATTACAAAAACTTTTGAAATAACTCAGCATTAACTGCTTAAATACAAGAAGCTGCTTAAATATACTTACATTCTTACTAATTTATTAAACAATATATGCAATAAAGGTGGCTATGACATTTTGCTTCACAGATAATGTCTTAGACACATATATAACTTTAAGAGACGGATCTACGCGTGTGCTGCTAAATTAAAAATTATAAAAATCAAAAAGTAAAGATTGGAATGAAAATTAATAAAATTCTGTTCTTGCGATATGAAATTCGAACCTTTCTTCTCCGGGTAAACGTTACCAAACTGAATAAACGTAAATTAATAAAACTTTCAAAAACAGAATCTTTAAATGAAAATTAAAAAGGGAAAAGAGAATTTTTTAAAAGCTTCATTAATTTGCACATATTCAGTTTGGTAACGTTTACCCTAAGAAGAAAGGTCTGACCTTCATATCGCAGAACAGAATTTTTATTCATTTTCGTTCTGACCATTACTTTATATATATATATATATATATATATATATATGTATCGGCCGACAACCGATATTACAACAGTACCTACATTACAATAGCAATAGTTTACTAGTTTAGAAAATGATATGATCGATGAATCGATGATGAAAAATATAACTGGCAACTATGTACCTAATCGCCTTTCATAAATTGCCGGTTACGTACACTTAGTACACCAGTTAGTGTGCCCATGTCTGCCTTGGGTGTCCGCCGATAACATCGCGGCAAAAACATCGCGGACGAAAACGTCGCGGAGAAAACAACGCAAGGCGAAAACGTCGTGCTACAAAACATCGTGGGAGAAAACAAAAACATCGCAAAGAGAAAACATCGCAGTTCTAAAACATCGCGGTACAATATATCGTCGGCGAAAATAAAGCGGTTCAAAAACTTCGCAGTTTAAAAACATCGTCGTCGAAAATATCGTGGTAAAAAATAAAGTATCTACAAATCATCGCATGCCGATAACATCGCAGACATGCTTTTTCAGGTTTTAATAATTGTAAATGGATATTCTCATAATGATTTGTGAGCGCAAAATGTCAAGAAGGATAATTTTTACTTTCACATTTTTTTATTAACTAATAAATTTTTGCTGAAAACATAAGAAGGAAACTTAAGCATAGAAAATTAAGTGTAACTTATAGATTATACTTCTCATTAAAAATTGCCAGTAAAAACTTTATAAAAAAATATTTATTAATGGCCTTTGTTAGTTAACTATGTCGGTTTAAAATTCTATTAAGTACTATAAGTTGCATTAATTTTCTATGCTTAAGTTTCCTTTTTATTTTCTCAGCAAAAATTTATTGATTAATAAAAAATATGAAATTAAATATTATCCTTCTTACCATCTTGCCCACACAAATCATTACGGGAATATCCATTTACAGTTATCAAAGCCTGAAAAAAGCGTGTCTACGATGTTATCGTCATGCGATGATTTGTAGATACTTTATTTTTTACCGCGATATTTTCGACGACGATGTTTTTAAACTACGAAATTTTTGAACCGCTTTATTTTCGACGACGATGTTTTGTACCACGATGTTTTAGAACTGCGATGTTTTCTCTTTGCGATGTTTTCTCCCACGATGTTTTGTAGCACGACGTTTTCGCCTTGCGTTGTTTTCTCCGCGACGTTTTCGTCTGCGATGTTTTCGGCTGTAACCCTGCCTTGAGTATCGCTACTTGAACGCTGAATATCTATCGTAGTGTTTAAGGCGTCTTATGTTACGTTTCTCTTTTTATCTTGCTTACATTCTTCTGCACGTTCGGACAACTGAAATAACCACTGAAATTAATACTGTGCTATAACTACTATTTCTGTAACTTTAGGTAGATTAAAAATCAATGACCAGGATGAGTAAGAAGGAAACGAAAGGCACATTACTAAGTTTCGTGCAAAGAAAGGATTCTCCAAAACCAAGTATTCGTCCGCCCCTTCGAATACAGATGAAAGTGAATATAGTCCACAATCCGCCCCCCCCAAAAAAAAGGAAGCTTTGTAAGGCACTATATCGCAGACTATTTGAAATATGGTTTTGTCCTTTGGCCACAGTCAGAAGGAAATTGTTCAAAACCTGAATGTGTTGTTTGTAGAGATGTTCTTTACAACAAAAGCATTATTAGGAATATCGATTATTTCAGTCGTTGCCACTTGAGGACAAGAAGAGGTTGACAAGTGGCGCTTCAGGTATGGTAGATAAGGGATCCTCATTCCCTTGTCCAGGGACCGTCATTGATTCATTTTTATATGCAAGTTTTTTTTTTTTTTTGGTAATATTGTGTGATTTTTCTCAAAGGTTTATTTACTTATATATGATAATTATATTGATATGTAATAATTACAATATTTACTTATCTTTATATTTAAATATGATTGTAGGCAAATGGTAATAAGAATATTATGATTAACTTATGCAGTAATTCTTGAATACCTAGAAAAGTTTTTTTGAGGGGAGAGAGGGGGAAAAAACCACCGTACGAGAAATTTTTTTCGTACCGCGAAATTTTTTTCATAAGTTTTACCGGTATGCGGACCATAAAAGGTTCAGAAGCACTATCTTAGAATATGTTATATGTTAGATCCCGAGGGTATCTTATACATTTGGATAGTTTTCGAAAAATCAGCAGATTAATATATGAGACATTATTTACTCACAAAGACCTATCAGAGAGGCATTAAGAAGAAAGAAATGAAAAGAAAAAAAGAAGAAGGAGAAAAAGAAGGAAAAACGAAAAGATTATGCAACATTTATTCGTTTGCTTTTGCTAACATTACTAATAATAAAGCAACCTATGGTGTGCTTTCAACTACACATTTTTTTTTTTAAAGATTTCAGTTTGCGCATTTCCGCTATTAAAAATGGTGTTACGGATTTTGTATTTAGTTAGCTATCTTTGGTAAAATTGTAATTAAAATTGCTTTATTTCCCCGCGTAATATTGCGAGTGACGAGTTTTAAGGAAAAGCTACGCCGAAACGGTAAAAATACAGGAACATGCGGCATTTAATAAATAGATATCTCGTAATTTATATTTAAATTGAAATAATCCAATTGTGTGTTAGCTGTAACTGTAATTCTACGCTTTTCCTTTTCAGAAACCTTGTGACTGATTTAAAAAGCTTATAAAGGGCGGAGAAAAAATCTCAGTTCTGTTAGACAAATTTGAAAATCTATGATGATTGTTTGAATTAAAGAAAGAGAGAAAACTTTTCAAGTAACGGAAATTTGATTAGAGTTAATACTGAAGAGTTTTGTATAATCCGGATTTTCTTAGCTCTGTATTTTTGCTGATTGCTTATCTTACAATGGATTTACTGCACGACTTGACTATGAATGAGTATACAGTTAATTATACCATTTAACTCGTTTGCTTGGTTTAACGATGGTATCTACCATGGAAGAGGAAGAAGCAGAATTTAATAGTGTACCTAATCCTACAATCGAATCGAAATTGGATAGGCATCAATGATATGATTTTCCCTAATCATAAAGAGGAGAATATTGAACAACGCAAAGCTAAGGATAAAGAATGGCAGGCTGAAATTGATAATTTAAAATTTCTTAAAGAGGAGTTACTTAAAAAGAAAATCAATCCCTCGACCCAACCAACAAAAGAAAGCCAAAGTGACAATCCTGTAGTTAAAAATATTCCTTCAACTTCTAAAGTTCTTAAAAAGAATAAAAAACGCACAATCACTGATAGCGGATATGGACTTACTTTTCCACGCAATTTAGTCAAACGCCCTCTGCCTAAAGATGAACAGAGTGAATCCTCAGAATCAAATAAATTCTCAGATCTAAACAGCGAAGATCATATGGAAGAGGAAATTTCTAAAATTCAGACTCCTCAAAAACGTAAACCTCACATTCCACTAATAGTACTGGTGCTACTAGTAGACAGTTGCACGGATTTTGGCGATTTTTTGGCGATTTTTCTTTCGGCGAGTAATGCAACTTATGGTAAACCCATTGCTGAATAAGTTATTTATGGTAATTAATTATTATAATAATTAATTACCATAAATAACTTTACCATAAATAATGAATAAGTTACCATAAATAACCATAAATAATGAAGGTACTTTCCCGTTTCGCCGGCACAAATCTCGCCAAGCGTACTTTGTTGGCGACAAGATACAGCATACGCATAAAAAATGTTAGCGAATGTTAGTTCTAAGAATTTTTTATTCTGAAGGCATAAACATTTTAATATGGTTTAAAATTTTATAAAATGCCAATAAATAAGGACAACAAATTTGTGAAAAGACATTAATTAAAAAATTTACTATGCTTTCATGGTTCAACATCCTGATTCGCTGGTTCGTACCATGTGACCCCTAGTGATCTCATCTCACGTAAACTACGCTCCAAAAATCTAATTCTCTCAGTAATTACTTACATTGATTTCAAGTTAAATTTTAATTTGGAATGCAAGTTTAAATGCAAGAATTATTTCAATTCGTACTAATAGCTTACTCAGAAATTATATAAAACCCCAGTGCTTTACTTCGCTAGTGCATTCTCATTAGAATGGATGAATGTAACTCTTCATTTTACCTTTTCTATATTTTCGCTTTTGGGTAAGCGGTGTGATTGCATTCTAATTGACTTAATTACCGCGAATCGTCTTAGGGCATAAAATTTAACTATCTTGTAAAAATTCTATGTAATTGTATGCCAGTATTGAAGGAAACAATCAATCTGATAACAAATAGTTGCGACTTGTTTTGAAAATTAGGCGTAAAAGGTTACCAGCGAAGATATTCCGGCATCAGTTGTACCATTATTGGCGACTTTATCGTTTGCGCCGGAAAACGGAAAAGTACCATAATGAATAAGTATTAATATATTACCATAAATAATGAATAATATATTACCATAATGATATATTACCATAAATAATGATATATTACCATAAATAATGAATAAGTTATTTATGGTAACCGATACTTTGTTGTCATTTTATTAAAAAAATAATGCGTTTTATTATGCATAAATTCCGTGTTTTAAATATTATTTATGGCTTCTAAATATTAAAAATCAATTTAATTTTGCATTTTTATTTGAAATCAAAATTTTGTTGTTTATAATATTTTATATAATTTTATGTTGTGGATGATGTAATCAATGACGTCACCTTACTTAAAAAGTAATTGGTTTTATTAATATCTGTAAATTTAATCTAATGTTTTAAACATTATTTATTGCTGTTAAATATTAAAATACAACTTAATTTTGCATTTTTTCAAATATGATTTTATTATGTATGATTATTTACATACTTTTAATTCTATGCGTGATGTAAACAGCTCCCTGATTGGTTACTGAATATTTGTGCATTACCGCGCCATTTTAAAATTTTATTATTCATCTTTTCGAATTCCTTAGATTTCAGCCCACCAGCGGCCGAGCGGTAATGTCGCTGAACACTGGTAGTTCGGTCCGAGGTTCGAATCCCGCGAACGGGCTGGCTGCATGGGTGTTTTCGTGGTTTTCCCCATGTGTAACGTGTATACGAGCCAGTTTCCCTTAGAAAGTCCTCCACGAAAGGCATCCCTCCCCTTAGGCAGATAGCCCTAGTGTGCTTTGCCATAATTAAATACACCACCACCTTAGATTTCAAAGCGAATGGATATCTCCGTTTCGAAGATGAATGTTGTTATTGGTAATTACCAAGAATTATTGGTATTGGAATAAAACAATTGTCCTTTGAGACCTTATTTTGGCCAACCTGTCTTTCCTAATCAAAGATTTATTTATAAATTGTTAATAGCGTCAGAGGGAATTTATTTTAAATTTTTGGAGGAAACCTCGCTAATTGCTTCTTCAATGAAGTGCGAGAAATGTGGATCACAGATGAAGGGTTAAAAGAGCCGATTCAATTATGATTCCGATTTTTTGTAGTACTTATCAATAAACAACAGGTTAAATGATTCAAAAAAATGTAAGTACACATTTTTCTTTTATTTTATAATTGTATGCTTCAATTTTTGTTAAAAAAATTAATACACTATTTTCAAAAATTGCTGAGATAATTACTGTCACATATGTTTTAATGTTAATTATATTCTATATAACGTATTTTAAAGTATTTGAATTTAATAATATTCTAATTCTTTTAAATGTTGGTATGATGGTTTTTAATTCGATGTTCAATTTCAGTAATATTTTAATCTAATTAAACGTTGGCACAATGTTTTTATAGCGGTGTTTTTATTCTTTTTTTTTTTTTTTTGCTATATGAAAGTAATAATAACCTGAATAATATGAAAGTAATAATAAGTATTTTATACTTATAGTAAATGTATTTATTTACACTTGCCTGCCATCTTAAAAAACGACATTTTCAACAAAAAATTAATCCATTACTTTTAACGATATTTATTTTTTTTTAAGTTTCGAATACTTTACTACGCGTAAAAACAGCGTTTTTCAAGATGGCTGACGATTGTAAAAATCACGCCAACAATTGCGTCAAAGTAAATCGCCAAAAATCCGTGCAACCGTCTACCAAAGTAGCACCATTTTATTGTTTATGGTATTTTATGGAATTTACTTACTTTTAATCCTAAGCAATAAAAAAGCGAGTCAAATTTCAGGTAAAATTTAAAAAACTTTTTGCAGATAGAAAGGCGATCGTAAAATAACAAATGGAATTTTACTTTTCTGGTATATCTCCATTATAACTGAAAACTACAATATTCACTTTTTAAAACAATAGCACTTTTAACGATCGAAAATATTACAAAGTAAAAATTATACATTTACTTACCAATTCCAAAGAGGGGTAAAAGTAAAAAAGTAAAATCCAAAGAAAACTAATTCTTTTAAAATACTAAAATGACTCTGAAACACTTCTTTAAACTTCTGAGCACAAAGTAAACACAGTAACAAATATATTACATTGTTGCCAACGTAAAAATAATAACTTACCTGTTTTCTAAAATAAACATTTAATACGTTTAAAGTGATAATACTTATGATTTCATTTTAAATTTCTTTACGAATCGTTGCCATCCACAGATTTAAAGCAAAGATTAATTAAATTAAACATTTTGATATTTTACAGTGTTTTCAAGTACTTAGTACTTTCAAGCAAACAATGCTTCGTTATTCTCTAATCTGAGTGTCACAATTTTTCGCGGAACACCAGTGTTCTGAAGAGCCGAATTTGAAAAACGCTGTCACGATGAAACTTTCTACAACATTTCACTCTTCCATTTGAAAAATATAGGTTGTTATTTCTATTTTTTAATGGAAGCTGAAGGTGAACTGTCATTCATCTTTCAAACTTGGAACTTCTTGCCACTAGCATACAACTAAAAATTTTCACCAGTAAATCAAAATGACTCGAGTGCTTTTCTCGGTGAAGGTGCATTCGCACAGCGTCGCGTAAACGAAAATAAAAACTTGCCAAAGCAGAAAATCAGAGACTGGGCTCGAACCCGCTTTGTCTCCTTTCATTAAATCAAGCGTCGGCAATTTTTCTGTGTATGCGGGTCAGAATCAACGAAAATTTGGGTATTAAGTAAATGTTTTGGGTCAGTGGTATTTTCATTTTAAAACAATTTTTTTAGTGAATAATAAAATAAATTTTGCTGAGAAAATAATAACAATACGCTCTAAACTTTAAATATAAATTCAAAATTATAATTCAGATGATTATAAAAACAAAATAACTGAATGAACTTTATTTTTGTCTTCGATATCAGTGACTTCCCTGATGCTGAACTTACGTAGACAATTTAGTCACGTCTGGCTTATAATCAGTCGTCTTAAGACGAATATAAGCGTCTGAATTTTCGCTAGTTTAGCTGTTTCTGTTCTTACTTAAAATAAATTTCACGTGTGAAAATACTTGCTCGCTTTTATAAGCTGAATCGAATGCGGACAAAAATGCAAAGCAAATTTTGTTTTAATAATGGATTACGGATTACGGATAGGCGCTGCCAAATTTATCAATTCTCGTTGAAATTATGTTACAGTTTTTTATTTTTTAAAAATAAAAATGCATATTCGCTACTGCAACTAATATAAAATGTCATTGTTATTATTTAATTTCAGTTTAGTTTTTTATGGATTCTTCTAGTGTTTGTTTCATATTTATATTTTATAATTTATTTTTATATATTATACTTTATTTTCAGAACTAAAGTGGCTCACAGATTGCCGAAGCCTGCATAAAACAACTTCTCTGCGTGTTACCTCAGCGCTGCAGCTTTTCTCATCAGAAAGTGAATATATTCTTATTCTCTCACAAACAGGATAAATATTTCAGTTGCTCGAAACTAGCTGCTAGTTTCTCGTAAGGTGTTTTGGCTTTTCCTGTGTGTTTCATAACTTTAAATGCTTCCTGAATGAAGTTTATGATGCTGGAATCATTTGCCCAGTTTACTGCCAGCTCGGTTGTAAGCTGTTTATTCAGTTTTTCAATAAACAAGCTGGAATTTTCGTCTGTTTTCCTTCCAGATTTCTGGTTTGGAAATAATGGAAAATCGTATTTAGAGAGCCTTGGAGTTTTTCTTTGGTTTCCGGATACAAATTGGATTTTAATTTGATAGGATTTCTTGTAAGCCGGGTAAGCTTGGTAAGAACTTACATTCTGGTCTTGACAAAAAATACAGATAGGCTTTTCATTTTCTATAAAGAACTTCTGTGTGTTTTATTGCGCCTGACTCACTTTTATTAGTTATTGAAAAATTATTGTCTGGAATAATAGCTCGTTCTTCGGTTGTCTTAATTAATTCAATGAAGAAAATCGCCGATGGTTTTTTATTCCATTCTTGTTGCGGCCAAACTGCTTCCCTCACAATACAGGAAAATTTCTTCGTATGAAATCTCTTTTGATTTCTTCTTCAGTAACTGAGATAAGGGAGTCTGTTAATTACGGCTTTAACCGTCTTTCCATTTGACACCATACTAGCTGATAGTGTTCACCTTCAGCTCGTCTGTTAGGTCAATTTAAGGTAGACAACTCATTACGTGCAATTACGATGCATACCGATCAGAAAACCGATTACATATAGTGTATATATAATGGATTTACATGACAATTTTAAATATTTGAGTTATACACGAGTTTTCAATTTTAGCAGATTGTTTGTAGCAAAATCTTATCTCTCGGCTTACAGTCGGAACTATATACATTAATCAGTTATATTTTATTCATCGATATGCATTACATTAAGTATTAAAAGCCCTCATTTATGTTTCTTTCTCGACAGGTGAGGTTCCTTAACACATCTTTTTTGGAATATGAGACGTAGTGTTTACGAAAAGTTAGCCAGCTATGATTTAGATTTCAGGAAAAATCCATCTGGTGATCATACTTATTATAGTTGCATAAAATAAAACATAACAATGCTTATAAATAGTAATATACAAATTTTCTAAAATCATTTCTCGATTTTTGTGATTAATGTATTAACATTAATACTTACCAGTTACTGAACCGGGAGGAAAATACTGCAGCAAAATATCGCCTTCCTCTCCTTTGGTTCCAGATTTTAGAGCTGAAGAGGGAACATTAACTACCACCCAGTATCCAAAAGAGACGCCTGTTGGCGCATCCGGATCTGTTTTAAAATATTTTATCACAAATTGATAACTATATTTAAAATGAATTAAAAACATCTGATATGTACACCACAAGATTTACTTCTACGGAAGATTAAATTGTACGTCATCATTGGATGTGCGCGTGCGCACATTCATCAATCATTTCCTGACGTGCCAGCATCAATCATTTCCTGACGTGTCAGCGCACGCGCACCACGCGTCAATGATGACGTTTCGAGAATGTCAATTTGACATTCTCGAAGCTATTCCTCTTATTGAAAAGGCGTGGTCAGAAATCACTCAACGACAGTTGGTTTCTGCCTAGCGAAAGCTGTGTCCATCCCTCGTTCAAGGAGACGAAAGTGATCAGGGTGACACCCCTGAAATTATGGATGAAAATGTAACAACTGCGAGAGATCTGGAATTGGAGGTGAACGAGGATGACATTGAAGAGCTCATAATGGAACATGAAGGTGACTTGACGGCAGAAGAACTCCAAGAAATCTTGAATGAAGAACACCAAGAAACTCAGCGAAATGTGTTTCCTTTTGAAAAAGAGGAAGACGAAAGAGGAGCAATGCCGACATCTGCCATTAAAGATCTTTTGAAGAAATGAGAGGATGCTGGAACCAAACCAAGCTGATGTCAATAGGGTTGCTAATCTCTACAACGACATTGCTATCAATCATTTCCTGAAAGTCCTGAAGGAGAGAGAAAAACAATCGACATTGGACATTTCTTTAACGCCCAAAGAAAGGAAAAGGACTGATTAATAAGACTATACGTATGTATTACATTTGTAATAAATAAGCTTACTAAGAAATTACACTTGTACATGACATTTTTTTTTAAATTTAACTTTTAGGATCTCCAGAACGAATTACTAGAAGTCCCATTAACATATATGGTAAATCAGTGATCGGTTAACGAACAATTCGGATAGCGAACATAATCTTGGAACGGATTATGTTCGTTAACCGATCATCCACTGTATATAAAACACCAAATACAGTTAAAACAATTAAAAAAAATTCCAATTAAAATTAGAGTTTTTAGGCAAAAACAAGCAATATGGCCAGCCGGCAAGAAGGCAGATTTTTCGGTGCACAAAACTAAAAGTTTACTTTTGGTCCCATTCGGCAAAAAGACACTGAAGATGAAGAAACTGAATTCAATATTCTGTTAAGTTTCAAATGTAAACAAATATGGCTGCTATGGTAAACAAAAATTAGGCTTAGCCGCACTTAAACAACCTTTAAATAGTTGATAATTCGACAACTATTGCATGCAGATTAACTAAAGGCATACAACCTTAACTGGAACATAAGAACCGCATAATTCATTTTAAAGCAAAATATGCACAATTTATCAACATATAAGAATAAAAAAAAAAAGCTGAGCTTACGGAGCCGAAGAACAGAGTGGGTATATATAGTCATATATATTTAAATACTTTTGATGCAGGCGATTGCAAATAAAAAGAAAGGTGCACAATACATGTTATAGCAGTTCCTACATACAAAATTTCAACGTTCTGAGACTACTCGTTTCGGATTTATGCAAGATTCGTACATACGCACTTATGTGTACCTACGTACATACGTACAGACGTCACGAAAAACATCTCTTCTGAATCCATCTTAAGTCCTTCTTGCAATCCATTTTGGGGGAAAAGAGTCCTTTATTCTGTCCTTACGTACAGATGTCACGCAAAAACATCGCTAAATTGCACTCGATAGCGGGCAAAATGGATATTTTCGGTGAAATATGATACCCCAAAATTTTCGCGATTACAATACTTTCTTTACTTTATACAAGGAAATAAAATGAAAAATCTTAAAGGTTCAGATTTTAATGGAGGTCCGAAAAATCTCTTTTAAACTCTTACTCTTTTTTTTAAAGTTAATTTGATTTACTAGTAGAGATAACGCAGGTAGAACAGCGGAACATTTTATAGTACACAGATGAGCATACATTTAGACAAAAATTAGAACATGATGTATCTTCTGTATGCTTAAAAAGTGAAAAATTGCATAACATATAGTTCTATAAAAGTATTAAATGCTCTTTTCATAAAATGTATCATGAACTAAAAATTCTTTTACTTAAATCAATCAGATTAAAATGTAAGAAATAATATTCTTAAGAACTGCATCTGTTGCTTTTGGATACCTTACACTGTTAATCAATAACAAACAAATTAAATTTGAAAAATAAATCTTATATTTTGCAGAATGTCAATAGACTCGAATGAAAAGTGAAACAACGCATTGACAATGCGCGACTTTTAAAGTGAATTAACACAAAATCGTGTTTCGGGACTAATCGACTTTTGGTCGGCCCTTTTGTGCTTATAATTTCATACGCTCCATTACAGTGAACCAGAAAACTGCTTATTAAAGAGCTTATTTCTTAACAACGCGTATTCAGTTTTTATATTATGAGAACATAATATTGTGAGGTAAAAAATGATGGTGCGAAAACTACCACTGAATTTTTTAAAATACATTATATGAATTTATATAAAGAATGGCAAGAATTTTACTTCAGTTCCAAAAAGAAGTAAAATGAAACAAAGCGAAAGTGAATGATTAATTTTTTTTCAGTATTTACTAGTCAATATAAATAGTAGTTTAGTACTTAGCATTTTTTAAGATGTAGTTTATAGTAGTAGTTTAGTTTTGAGAAAATAACCTTTTGCAGGCAACTACGGCAGCTACATTTTTACACAAATTCAGAAAATTATGTCACTGAATATTTTTTTGCATTGAAAACGTTTTTAGGAAATGCTCATAATATTCAATATTGGACATGTAATCCATTAAAATTCAGTTACATTTATTAGATGATTTATTTCAATTCACATTGAGAGTACTTTAACATGATTTTCAAATATATGAGACAAATTAAATTGCATAAACGTCTGAAACCACTAAAATACTTTTTAAATCTTACAAGCATAATATTCTCAATATAATTGAAAATTGGAAAAAATTAATAACAGTTAATTTATACCACTTATGTAAAGCTTACGTTTTCCTGAAGTTTATTTTATGTATGTGAAATTAGTATTTTCACTGTGGAAAAAAGAGCACAACATGTACAATCCATACATATTAGTAGAATAACAACTTTTACAACCAATTATTGCAACAGTAAACTTTTATTAAATAAAACAAGAATTTTAGTATTTTAATTGGATTCACTAATCTCAATGACTATATATATTAATAATAAACATAAAACGCAAGACTCCCATAATAAAATTTTGATTTAAAGGCAAATATTAATAAAAAGTCGGGGGAAAGCTATTTTAAGTGTGATTTTCCCCTAATTCTCATCGGAGTAGCTCCAGATCAGGATCGTCACTGCTTCCCGATTAAAAAAATTAATATACAGTATCAATGTTGTCAAATTTGAAAGTTTTGTCGCTTTTGCAGATATAGCCAAGTTCTAGCCGGACTTGCTTATGAACCATAATTTTGCTTAGATTCGCACAATAACAGCAGGCAAATTCGCTTATGAACCATAATCTTGCTTAGATTCGCATAACAACAGGCAAATTCAGGTTCATTCTGTTTATCACTCTGGTTTTAAATAAAGTTACACAAGCGAATATCATTTTGACATTAACGATTAAAAGTATTAGACAAATTTTTCCTTCTAATCTAAGTGCATGCTCTCGTAGACATAGAATATAGTCTACGAGAAACTGGCTCGTCTACAAGAAACTGACTTATGTTGCGTATGGAGAAAACCATTGAAATGCCAGTGTAACCAGCTTATTCGCCCAAATATGGACTCCAGCTAAACTGTCAGTGTTCAAGAGTCTTTAATCGCTCGGTTACTTGTGGACCATTCTCTGACAAATGAGATCGAAGGTGGAAAAAATTGTCGTGAATGATTTACATTGTTATGTAAATTTCAGATGTCAGGGAGAAACTGGTCACCGAAATGTGATTTAGCTAGTACAACTGCTGTAAAAATATTTAAAAAAAATTTCAGAAAATTTCAGCTATAAAACAAGTGCTTTATTTTGGAAATAAAAATTGTTCATGTGTAATGGACCGAAGAATAATTTTAGTGGGAAACAATTTTTAAAATGCAAGTAAATTTCATATTAATGAAAAAAATTAAGATACATAAAAGTCAGGAAATATTTGAAGACCCTCCTAACCAAAAATAAAACATTTCTAGAATTCGATATTAAAGTCCTATTTGGATTCGCCAATCCTATTAACGATTGCAGAAATTTGCAAAACCCACTTCGACATAAACTACATATAAAATAGGCTCTGGTAGGAACATTATATTCAAGAACAGCAAGGTTTAGACAATAATAAAGACCCCTAATCTGGCGTTTACGGCATACGTTGTAGGCGCAGGACTTTAGATTATGACAATGATAACCGCAACGTCAATAAATACTATTAAGGACTGGAATACCTTACTAACTTCTGTAAAACATAATACTTTAGAAAAATGAATACTTGAGAGGCAATTTTATGAATATGGAGTTTTAAAAAGTTTATATCTTGTAGCCCTACATTCGCGTATTGATATGCGTTATGTCAACTATGAGCCAGTATAAAAACTATGTTAGAGCTAAGTTATTAAACAGAATTATGCTAAATAAAATCTATGTTACAGCATTCGTTGCTCTCAGATTTCTTTTACAGGCTGTATAGTATACATGCTAATGATATCGTTGCTAACATATGCGTCCGTCTATTTCCTTTGGACATACTTTTTGTATGAAAATGCACCAACGCAGTAATAAAGGGCTACACTGCGTAATTTAGAGGAAACCAGATTCATAATACAAGAAGGTGCTCCCTTTCGTTGCCAAGCTCAGAAGAAGAATGTTTTCAATAAGAGGTCTCTGTGGTTCGGATCTTTTATCGTGAGGATTTTCATCTTTCCCCCTAAGAAAATAATCCTCAAAGAACGACAATTTAGAGCGGAGAAAAATGAAGTAAAGAAACTATATTGGATCACGTTATGCAGATGATGACAGACTTTTAAAAGAACAGCGTCTTTACTTTGATTGGTCGATGAAACGAATGTTTAGTTGTTAATAACCGTTCTGTAGTTGATAATTTCTTCAAAATAGAGTGAAATTAACGGAATATCAAATCCCCGAGCGAAAGCGATGGATGAAACAAACGTTTAGTTGTTAATAACCGTTCTGTACTAAATAATTGCTTCAAAATAGAGTGAAATTAATGGAATATCAAATCCCCGAAGAAAAGCGATCGATGGAACAAATGTTTAATTGTTAATAACCGTTCTGTACTAGGTAATTGCTTCAAAACAGAGTGAAATTAACGGAATATCAAATCCTCGAACAAAAGCGATCGAAAGAAATGTTTTATTCTTAATAACCGTTCTGTACTAGGTAATTTCTTCAAAATAGAGTGAAATTCAAATCATCCCCGAGTAAAAGAGATTGTTCCCGAACCATCTCCGAATAAAAACGATCGTTAATTACTTATTTTATATTAGGAAATTACGGATTTATGAGCAAACATTTGTTCCTAATGTATTTTATAACAATTAATTGAATTACGGATTCATGAATAAAAATATTTTTGTTTTAGCCAAATTTTACAGTTTCCTTCTGAATGAAAGAAAATCCATTTATAACGTTTTGAAAATTTCCATGAGCTAGTTTAAATATAGCAATTGTCAAAAAATAAATTCATATAATGAGGGTTTCCCTCCTATTTTTTTACGTGTGTAACAGTTTAAGCTGAAAAATGTCAAAACATTTTATTAATTACATCAGAATTTACCAAACATGATGAATGTTAAGTCACTGCATTTCCGATCAGCATCAAATTTGAGTGTTGGGGCGTCTGCCACACGAGCTATAGATACCAATTCTCCGCATTTTATATTTTTGTCATATATGACCTGAAAGAAAAAGCATATTTAAACTTCTAAACACTAGGCACAATTAGGCAGACAATTCTCTTTCAGTATAAAACGCGAATAGTAAAATAACGGTGGTTAAATTTTATTGCACAAATTGAAAAATACTGATCTGTTTGTGCCCCCCCCCGTCGATTCGAAAATATTTACTACTGGCATGCACTTCGACATGAAGGTATTATCGCATGGCATAAGCGCTGTAAACAAATCGTATATACATATGTTTTCTGGTAACATGCTGCGCCTTTAAACTGGATACAGTTGTCCCTAGGCCTGGGTTTCGAAAAAACTATCTTTGCCATTTTTAATTTTGTGCAATAATTTCTTCCACTACTTTGTTCCTCAGTTTGTCAGTGATGCTGGGCCTATGTCTACTGATTTGCATTTTCATGTGTCATTACAAAAAAAAAAAAAAAAAATGCCGAAACTATCAGTTTGCTGAACTTGCTAATGACATGAAAAAAGTGATAATCACATAAAGCGCTCTCTATCATCATATCAGTACGTTAAATGAGAAAAAGCTCGTAAAGATAAAAATAAAAATAAAAGTGAGTCACTTGAAAGCTACGGTCACTGGATAAATTACTAAAGAAAAATATAAGCATTATTTGAAGTATACATAAACTCTATTTCTTGTTTAATGTTTTTTTTTCCTTTTGTGCTTACCGCAGTTCAATTTAATGTGTATATTCTGATACTATTTACTAATAACAAATACTGAGCATAAAAATGCGTACAGTAAAACGTTAAAATATAAATTGACTATTTGAATATTGCTTTCTTCCTGAAATCTTTTAAAAGACTGCATAATATCTGAAGATACTTAAATCCAGTTTTCTAAAAATGTTTGAGAAAGAAGACTAACGCTAAACCTAGAATTTTCAATTGATTTTAATGTTTCCATTTTCCGCTTAAAAATTGCTGTAGAATAAAAAGGACAAGATAAAGGGCTGAACGAGGCCACATTGCATCATACTTTATCATTCTTAACATCATACAAGAATTTTAAAACTGCTAGTGATTATTACCCATGTATATGACGAAGTTAGAGCCGATGTTATTAAAGTAAGATGAACTAATTCGTTCTCGCATCTTAAATGACTGCTTATAAAAGAGGATTTGGTATATAACTTCGTAATGCAAAACAATGCAATTCATTAAATCTAACGAGTTTACAATTGGGTGCCCCTAGTTTTTTGGCGATTCTTTTTTGACGCCGAGATCGGTGCTAGGAAGGCACAATTTCAAGATGGCCGCTACACAAAACCAAAATAAGAAGTCAAAGAATTGCACAAACTCTGTGTCCATGCACACATCGATCTGTTTTCACGTAAAAAAACATTCTAGAATTGCACAAACTAGGCATTGCGCACTGCCTTAAATTTGTCCATGTACACATCAATCTATTTTCATTTAAACAAAATCAGGAAGCTAAAACAAAGTTAAAACTATCATGGTAACGATAAGTGAGGTTTCATCGCCAAAATTTAAAAAAAAAAAAAAAAAAAAAAAAAAAATTGTCGCTAATCGAAGGGGCACCCAATTCTACACTAGAGCCGATCTAACACATGCACAATATTTAACACAGATTAAACATATAAAAAGTAGGAAAACTTGAATTAAATTTTACTATATTCTACGAAGGAAAGCTGATGATGCACATAGAAAATGGTGAAGAAGCCGAAGATACAAAATGTTGCTGTTTGAAAGGGAAATCTTATTCCGTAAAAATGTCAGGTAGCTACTGTCCTTTTTTTCTCTCTTGCTTTCTGTCAGCACTGTTCGCCTGTGCTTGAGAATCGCTGGGGCTTTGTCCCATTAAAAATTTGTCTACCGTGATTTGTTTCTGTGTTTTAAAATATTCCTAAAGCAAGACATGGTATTGTGATAGCAAATATTTATGCTACTGCTTTTTGAGGGTGCTTTTTGAATGCCTTTGCAATTTACCTCATTTTGCAGAAATTTCGCAGATAAAATAAGTAAATATCTTTCATTCCGTTTCCTTCTTCTGAAGACATTTCCTTCACTACATTAAATGCGTTTTGAAGTTTCATTTGTTGCTGTCTTACTTGTTCGTTTCGAGACATCATTCAAGATAATTTTCATTTAGAAAGTTTGTTCATGATCCAAGGCGTTTGTGTGCCAAGGTTTCACTGTGTTAGATAATAACCTGGCACGTTTTTAGCACATTTGACTATGAAACCACTAACTTCGTCTTTATAAATATTATTTCAATTTCTAAAAAATCTGATGTGGACAACCCATTGACTTCCTTGTTGCGGCCTATTAAATTATACACATTTTTTGCTGCATTTCATTTAAACTTATTTCTTCGAATTTCATTCGAGATATTATATTTCTTATTCAATTAATTCAGTTTTCAATTCGCGGCTAGACAAAGTACATAAAAACTCAAAACAGCTTCATTAAAAATTGTAAAATATAGAAAAATATGAAATAGTTAAAAACTGTTAAAAAACAATTTTTACAATTAAAAATTAAAATTCCTACCCCAAAACAAGCAATTCGGCCGGCGTGCAAGAAGACATATTTTTCGGTGCACAAAACTGAAGTTACTTTTGGACTCACTCGGCAAAAAGATACAGAAGATGGTGCAGAAACTGACTTAATTCACTATTCCCCCAAGAGTTTCAGTAATCAAATGACGGCTTCGTTAACTTAGAAGCAATTAAACAACTTTTAAATTGTTCATAATTCTAAACTATTGCACACAGATTAATTAAAGGCATAAAAACCTTAACCGAAACATAAGAACAATCACTTTCAATCAATTAAATTACTCTTAAAGCAAAAAATGCACAATTTACCAACATATAAGAAAATAAAACTAAGCTCACTGAGCCGGATAACAGAATGGGTATATGTGCACTTTTTGGTGCGGCCAATTGCAACCAAAATGAGAGGTACACAGCTACATGTTATAGGAGTCCTATATACAAAATGTTAACGTTCTGAGGCTTTTGGTTTTTGAGTTATGCGAAATATACACATATTTACATACGTACGTACAGATGTCACGAAAAATATTTCTGAATCCATTTTACAATCTGGTTGGAAAAAAAAAAGTCCTTTATTCTGTCCGTACGTATGCCACACAAAAACATCGTTAAATAGATTCGAGAGCGGCCAAAATGGATACTTTCGTTAAAATGTGATACCTGAAAGTTTTCGCGATTACAATACTTCCCTTACTTCGTACAAGGAAGTAAAAAGGTACCAAAGAAGAATTGTCAACAACATAAAATTATACTGTCGGATTTTGAAATTTGGTCAATGACAGAAATCTAAGAAATAACACAAAAAATATAGCTCCCATTTCGTTCATTTAATCTGTATGGTAACAAATTCCGCGCAGTTTTATAAAACTATTCAAAGAATGTTTTGGTTGTGCCATTTATATTTAGGATAACTTAAGCAACTTACGCCGAGTTGAATGGCTTAGCAAATAGCCGAGTTTTTAAAAGTTTATCGCCGCCAACACACTTTGGATTTCATTATATAATTTACGAAGAAAGAACAAGAAATTTCTATTTTAATTAATATCTTACTTTTAGATCAGTGGAGACTGTGGTGCAAAGTCTGGCACTATTTTATGCTGCTCCAATTTCTTTTGACAGTTTTTACCTTTGATGTACGGTAATAGTGTAGCCAAAAGCAAAATCTTCGCAAAGAAAAATAAAGCTCTTCCTTTCTCCATCAGCTTTAAAAGTAAGAAAAGTGTAGTTACGTTAATATTTAAGTATAGGAAAACCCAGAGAGAAATTTGTCTTTTATATAGAGCTAATTATTGTTTCAGCTGGCGTTTTCAACAGGAAATACAAAATTTCCAGGTAATTGCAAGAAGAACCTGCCTCCAAGCTTATGCGGGATGATTAGAAATTTAACTTGTTAATAATGTTTAACTTTATGATTTCCTTCGGTTCGGCAAAGGCCTTGAAAATAGTTGTAAGCTGTCTAAATACCATGTGACCACGTTTAGCAGAAGAAGCCCAAGCTTGAAGTTATCTAACTTTCTTTTTTAAATATGTCGCTGCGCATCCAATAATATGGAATCCAATTTTATGGAAGTACTTGTACACATGCTGTGCTAGAACTCAGAGATTACTAGCGAGAGTCTCCTGTGCCGCCGTCCGAAAAATAAGTAAATTTTGAACAAATGAGGTGCTCGTGTGGCGCCATCTCTTGCAGGATGTATTGTAAGGCATTTTTAAAATTTCATAAAAAATATTCTTTTGATAAGCAATAATTGGTAAGTAAAATGATGAAAAACACAATTTGCAATACATTGAAACGTTTCACAAGAGTAATCTATAAGTAAATCTATAAGTAAAGAAAATGAAGTAAAATCTTGGCTAACTAAGAAGAAAACGAAAACATATACATTACTACCGACTATTATGGTGAATAGTGGGGCCTCTTGTGGCGTTGTTCAATTGTGAAATCATAATTTCCTAGTTTTTTTGATGATATTCTTAGGATGACTGTCACATTTCATAAAAAGTTATGAGAAGCTTTTAGAATTTCAGAATCCGTAGGTTTAATTTTTAAATCATTGTGAAGAGTGCTGTTTCGCACGAACCAAGGCGCATTTGTAATTATTCGGATGACCTTGTTTTAAATTCTTTGTATTTTTTCGCGATGAGTTCTTGCAGTTGCAGCCCACGCTGGGGAAGCATACAATAAAATCGGGCGGATAACTTAACTCTTTTTGTAGCGAGACTAAGTTTAGAATTTCTCCCTATGAGTGCATAGATACAGCCTATTGCTTGGTTGGCTTTTTTACAGATATTTTCGATCATATTATAACTCAGAATGCACAAAATTTATATAATTTAAAGAATTATCTAATCGTTGCCGCATGTTCTATTCAAATACTATAATAAAGCTAGAACTATGTATAAAAGAAATTAAGCAAACAAAACAAAAAAGAAACAGTTTTTCACAGACGATTGAGTATTTCT